TCTGATAATAATTAAGGAAATTGGAAATGGAATTTGATTAAAAGACTGTGGTATCGGGCTCGTATTTTGGTTCCGATGCCCGGTACAAGTCTTATATACGGCTTAAGTACTTTCTGTAAAGTTTGGTTGAATTTGGACGTCGTTTGACGTGTTTTGGACTAAAAACTCTAAACTTGATGTTTGATGAAAATTGGAAGGAAATCCTGGGTCTTGAGGCCTAATTTGATGATTATGATGTTGTTTGCGCGATTTGATCGCACGGATGAGTCCGTAGGATGGTTTTGAGTTTATATGTATGTTCGGTTGGGAGCCCCGAGGGCTCGGGTGAGTTTTGAGTAGGTCCCGGGAGGTCCTAGGCTAGAAATATCAAATGGTTGCAGGTCCAGGTGTTGCAGGCCCCCAGCGCGGCCGCGGTCATTTTCGCGCGGTCCGCGCTGGAAGCCGCGCGGCCGCGGTGCATTTCTGCGCGGTCCGCGTGGCTAGGTTCGGAGGGCCAGTGAATTCTAGGTCAACCAGCGCGGCCGCGCACAAAATCAGTACGGTCCGCGCTGGGTAGGTTCAGAGAGTCATTTTTCTTCTCTTCCTCGGTGCGGTCGCGGTGCATTTTTGTGCGGTCCGCGCCAGTCTTCAGCACAGCATATATAGTCGGGATTTTCAGTCATTTCTTCACTTTTTCAAAACCCAAAACATAAGAGGCGATTTTTCAAACGATTCTACTTCTTCAAAACGATTGGTAAGTGATTTCTAACTGATTTTCTTTACTCCTTAACATCCTTAAACATAATTTCAACTTCAAAACAAAGGTTTTAATGGGGAAATTGGGAATTTAGGCTAGGTTTTTTCAAAATTGGGGGTTTTGGACCTCAATTCGGGGTCCGATTCCAAAATAACTTACATATTTGAGTTCATGGGGGAATGGGTAAACGGGTCTTGGTTCGAACCTCGGGTTTTGACCATGTGGGCCCGGGGGCATTTTTGACCTTTTGGGGTAAATTGATGAAAAAGCTATAATTAGTCATTGGGTTTGATTTGTCTAGCACATATTGATATCATGAAGTCCTTATTGCATAGATTTGGTCGAGTTGGAGCCGAATTCGAGAGGGAAAGCGGTCGTGGAGGATTGTATTGGCCGTGGAAGTTGAGGTAAGTGTTTGGTTTAACCCTAGCTTGAGGGAATAGGAGTCGAGTCTTGTTTGCTATTTGCTAAATGATCGAGTACGATGTATAGGCATGGTGACGAGTTCCTATACATTGGGGTTTAGCATGACCGTGAGTCCTTATATGTGAGTTGTTTGGATATTGTTATGCCTTCCATGTTATTAATGGCTTCTATACGTGGTAAACACCTTGTGAAAGATATTGTGATTGTAGAATTTCGTGGAGCATTAGCTCGGTCTGAAATACAAATGGTGAGGGTATGTGAAATGAGAAATGCCTTAGCGCTTGACACGAGTGTTAATGAGAGTTAGGATATGGAAATGAAAGAAAAAGAGGAATAACGATTTACTCTTGCATGGTTGTTATTGGTTGTTTGTGTACCCTTGTTGGGATTTCTTTCCAAATACTTGTTTACTCCCTTGCCCTTTATTTGTGACTATTGTTTGGGCGAGGTTGAGAGGTATACATTACGGATTAGGTTGCGCGCCGCAACAATGTTAATTGTGGATCGGGTTGCACGCCGCAACAATGTTAATTGTGGATCGGGTTGCACGCCGCAACAATGTTAATTGTGGATCGGGTTGCACGCCGCAACAATGTTAATTGTGGATCGGGTTGCACGCCGCAACAGTGATAATTATGGATCGGGTTGCACGCCGTAACAGTGATAATTATGGATCGGGTTGCACGCCGCAACAGTGATAATTATGGATCGGGTTGCACGCCGCAACAATGATAATTGTGGATCGGGTTGCACGCCGCAACAGTTATTGATGCAAATGTGTTTAGTGTTGGTATTAGTTCCTTGTTCACTTTAAATTGTAAATTGTACCTAGATTGATTACTTCGGACTTACTGTTAATCTTGTTATCTCCCCACAGCATGTTTCCCCTCCCATACTGTTAATTGCTTTGCACTTCGATTTCCGTTGCATATTTATAATTGCACAAGTTTATGTGAGGTCCAGTCTAGCCTCGTTACTACTTCGCCGGGGTTAGCCTAGGCACTTACCAGCACATGGGGTCGGTTGTGCTGATGCTACACTCTGTGCATTTTTGCACAGGTCCAGGTATTGAGCAGCAGCAGCAGCATTAGCACGGGGGCGCACCTTCAGTCCAGAGAGACCCGAGGTAGCTTGCAGGCGCCCGCAGGCCGGCGTCTCCCTTCTATCTTTACATTTGGCTGTCATCTCATTGTACCCGAGATAAACAGATTGTGTTTCTTTCAGACTTTGTATGTAGTACTCCTTAGATGTTCGTGAGTATGTGACTCTAGTTCCGGGGTAGAGATATATGTGTTGGAACTTCTGTATTTTTGATCATCTATCTACATTTAAGTCTTCCGCCAGTGTTTTTAATTCTGTCGCCTTTATTTAATGCCGCTAATTGTTAAAAGGGAACATGTGTTTAAGGAATTTGTTAATTAAGTTGGCTTGCCTAGCTCCGTTAGTAGGCGCCATCACGACTCCCGATGGTGGAAATCCGGGTCGTGACAAGTTGGTATCAGAGCTCCAGGTTACATAGGTCTCACAACTCACGGACAAGCTTAGTAGAGTCTGAGGGATCGGTACGGAGACGTCTGTACTTATCCNATAGTACCAATAGGAGATAAATCGGTTAGAAAGATTGGCTGAAGGGTAACGGAGTGACCACACTGAATGCATGATAGCCCGTTTGGCCAAGCTTTTTTTGGGCCAAGCTTTTGGAAGAAAAAAAAAGTATTTTTTTGAGAAGCAGAAGCAGTTTTGGAGAAGCAGAAAAAAACAGCTTCTCTCCAAAAGCACTTTTTTCAAAATCACTTTTGAGAAAAATACACTTAGAATCAATTTTTAAAAGTTTGGCCAAACACTAATTGCTACTCATAAGTGCTTTTCAAATTAATTAGCCAAATACAAACGGCTTCTCACCAAAAGTACTTTTGAGAAAAAACATTAATCAAAATAAGCTGATTTTTGCAGCTTGGCCAAACAGGCTATAACGATATATAATTTTTTTTTCACTATCAATATACTTTAATATGTTATAGTTAATCAATTATCATTTTATTCAAATTGTATATGGTGACAACAGATCATTTCTTCGCCACACGAGCTACCCAATTGAAATGTTGAACTCATTTATGAAGCATTATTCATTGATAGTGCACGACAAAGTCGTCAACATTTAAGACCATAACAAGATGATGAGTCACTATTGAACAACCTAAGACATGGCCCTACTTCAATTGTTTGGTGCAATAAATCGAAATTAATGCTGTTTTAAAGACTTTTTCTAGTGTTGGCTACACAGACGGAGCCGGGATTTGAAGATACTGGATTCGGGTTTTTAGCCTTTTTATGTTATTAGGTTCTAAAGTAAAAATTTGTACCTACTCAATAGATTTTATAAGACAAATATACAGTTTGCACTAAAGTTACTGAGTTTGGTTGAACCCGTTATCGAAGCTCTAGCTCCGGCCCTGGTTGGCTAATAGGAGAAAAAGGACAGGCACTTGCATAAAATATTACGCATTTACACAGGGTTTGCAAAAAGGCTGCATCCGTAAGGATGTGATATAAGAAACTTATCCTAATAAACATTTACATTAGTCTAATAGTAGTACTTACAATAACTCCCTAGTGTGCCAGATAGCTACTTTTGTCATGTTTAAGCTGAAGCATAAGAATGACGAATTTGTGTCAAGTATGTGCTCACAGCCAGTACCGCATTTCTTTTTTCTTGGGGGCCCTTACAGTGTGAACTGATTTTTCAAAAAATTTACGACAATAACATTGTCTCAATCTCAAGTTGGGTGAGCTATACGAATCCTCACCGATTATGAGTCCGTTTGGATTGGCTTAAAAAAAGTGGCTTTTCAGTAGAAATAGCTTTTAAGCCAAAAAGCAATAAGTTGGGATTGCCCAGCTTATTATTTTGGCTCTTTTAAGCAGTTTTTAACTTATTTTAAGCACTTTTTGACTTTGTCAAATACTGAAAAGAGCTAAAAAGAGCTTAAAAGCTGATTTGATCAGCTTAAAAGCCAATCCAAACACCCTCTATATCATTTCACTTAAGCTCATCAAAACAGATATTGTACAACATAAGAATGAAATAAAAAAACATTTCATTAAAAGTTCTCTACATTTCTATTGACATATATTGCTCTAACACAATGAATTTGGTAAGACATTATCAATTGAAAAATAGTATTAACTTAATACCAGGCTAAACTATGAGTTGTACTACTCTTTATAAGAAGACCTCTTCACCTCTTGCAGTTATTTTTTTTCTTTTTTCTTTTTGGCTTTATGCATCCTGCATCTGAATTACTATTCCAGATTCGTGCTGTATAAGGTGTATAGCCCATTAACAAGGGCAGAGCTAGTGTCTCGAGCGGGTTCGGCCGAACCCAGTAGCTTTGGTTTGAAATTTGTATTTGTCTTAAAAAAATCATTGAATAAACTTGAAATCCTGGCTTCATCTCTGCCCATTTGAGAGAGAAGCGCTCCCTATCATATGTCATGTAATTCTGCCGCAGAGAACATTAAGTGCCAAATGTACAGAATTGATGACAAATGACTGGTAATACTACAGAAATAATCACTTATTATTTCAATTGAAAAGGAATTAACCACTTACATGCTTTTGCTATTGTAATATGTACAACAACAATAACAACGACCCAGTAAAATCCCACTAGTGGGGTCTGGGGAGGGTAGTGTGTACGCAAACCTTACCCCTACTCTGAGGGAGTAGAGAGGTTGTTTCCGGAAGACTCTCGACTCAAGAAAACGAGAAGAGACAATATATCAGTACCATCAACAGAAACCAAAGGAATAAAACAGCAACATAAAAGCCATAAAATAGATGAAAACAATAGCAATAACCCGTAAATAGACCCGGCACTATAAAACGAAAGAGTAGTGAGAACTATTGTAATATGTACAAAACGAGATATAATATACATCAACAGAAACCTGAGTTTATGTACCTGATAAAATGAGCTGATTGTTGCACTCCTCCAGCTAACACTTACTCAGAGTTGCTTCTTTTACATACCATTGATCAATGTCAGAACAAATCATTCAAGACTGGCTATTTCTAGAGGTAACTTTCAACGTTCGTTTGTCCGTCTCCCCAAGGAGATGAATCAACTATCATTTTTAAGATGCATTAGCCAAACAATGATCTTTACGATTGAGTTTTCTATGCGAGACGCCTTGAGAAGATGTAGAGTAGCCTGCAAGATTGCTCTACTATCAGTTTATACGTAGAGGGATGCTTCCACGCTATAAACGAGAACTTGTCACCATATCGCTCCATTCCTTCCACCAACAACTGCCAAACTAAGGCTCCTGCACCAGCTTTCTTCTTCTTTGCTGACTCATAAATCTTGTCGTAAACTATTTTCAGATAAATATTTCTGTCATGTAATCCTTCCTTTTGCGTACTTGAGGGAAACCCGACTTCTGTGAAAAGAACTGGCTTTTTAAGGATCTTTTCAGCTTCACTAATGTGAGAATCAACCCAATGAGATAGAAAATCCACTTTCGCATCTGGATTTATACCTTGGATCCTGCAACAAAACATGATTTAACAGAATCAATAAGGAAATAGTGATAAACGCATATTTTTTTGCTGTTTACGCTGCATCTTTTTGAAAGAAAACAAGCTTAAACTTCTACATATACTACTACTACTACTACTACCACCAGATCTGGGTACGAGGTGGAAAAAATTTATTCTGCTTTGACTAACCAACTGTGGGGGTAAGCATGAACGGAAGTAAAATCGATGTTGTCAATAGCGGAGTTTTCAATGAAATCCACTCCAAGTGATGCAGCCCATTTTCCTGGGTTCACTCCAAAGCTTCCAGTTTTTTCCACACCATAAAAGCCCTCGAGTCCAACAGTCACGAGATGCTTCTGATCCAAACTTTTGACAAATCCAGCCATCTCAGTTATCCACGCCTGTTCACAAATCACCGTTTGAGCTAAAAATAAGAAGGTACTAGATGCATCATGAGCGATTGCGGTTTTATGCATTATCCCAGAAATCTTGATATGCGGACTAATTATAGTAATTAACAGTCTTAAGTAAGATTACTGTAAAGCCAGGTGAAATGATTGCAAGTGTTTATCTGTGTCCGATGCTTTATTTTCCTTGAACAGGGAATTTAAAAATACATGCGGAAAACAACTATTTTTGCTAGTTGACCAATTTCACTACACAAGATTGTTCCACCTGAGAGCCTATTATCCGCTCTTGCTTCAAAATCTCATTTTTCCAGTGTCGATGAGAGGCTAAATCTCAATAGCAAGCAGTATAAATCTGAAAAACTAACCTGCAGAGCAGCAGCTGATGAACTGGATTCACAACGTGGTTCATTTATGAGTTCCCATGCAAATATGGCTGGTTCTTCTGAATATTTTACTCCACTTATGGAGTTTTTTCTTGTCACAACAGCCTGCCATGTGTAAAAAAGAATAATGAATTATAATGTGTTTATTTCATTGGAATAAAGTATATAGGAAGAAGTCGCTTGACTAAGAAATATATGTTAATTTAGGAAGTAAGTTGGTATATATTGGAGATAATTTTTGTAGAATCTTAATAGAAAAGCTTCTTCAACGTATATTGGATTCACATTGTCGAATGACATAATTTGCTCTATTTGAACATACCTTGACAAAAGACTTGTAGTACGCTTTGACAGTTGGGTTAGTAAAGAATGCATCACCTGATGAAGACACATTGGTACCAGCTTCTTGCGCCCACCTCACATATTGAGCAGTGCCACCATAAGCATTTAAATTGTTTACAAGACTCAGAATTAATCTAATGTTATGCTTCCTTGCCTCGACAATAACATAATCCAATCCCTGAAATTGATAGGATAATTAGACTATAGCAAAGTGCGAAAAACGGAGAGCGATTTCTTGTACTAGGATTGGATTTGTAAATATGGCCTAAAATTGCATCACTAAGAAAGGCCATGCACAATAATTTGTAATAGTCCACTAAGACGAACAGAATTCTATGGATATATGCTTGCAGATACAGAGGCAAGATAACCGTTAGAAATTGCAAATGCTACACTATAATGTCTGCTTTTTCTAGTGGTGGTCTACTAGTCTGTTGTTTCTGTTGCTACTTTCTGCAGCGTTCTTATGGCATTGGATTGATTATTTAACAAAGATTGAATGTAATGGAGTTTGAACAAATACTACATAAAAGTTGTATTTTCTGCCATCCACGAGACAATCCACTATCCACACAAAACTAAATTGCTTGGATCTTCAGAATGGCAGTCGGTACTCAGTACTCATGAATGCTGATATCCTAGTACATTTTGCATTACTACTGTCATGGCAGAATACTATGTGCTGCCTATTTGTATTGCTAGATGTAGTAATCGAAACTATTGGAAGTGATTCCAGTAGGCTTTAGCTAACGTTCAGTATGTTAAACACCAAATAGTTGAGTCCTCTCAATGTACTCTTGCATATAACCCTTTCGGTTTTAGTTATGATTTCATAGTACATCAATGGTATGACCTAAAGCTAGTCTGTCCATAGTAAAGCTTTGCTAAGTTTTGAATGTTTAACTGAATATCCAAACCCAGTGAGAACAAGGTACTATAAGTTGGTCGATTATTCATTTTTTTTTAAATCGGAAATGTTCGGGACATTTTGCTCACACGTCGAGTATTTTATGGGTACCTAAAACTAGTAACAGGTTACTCAGTCCACCAAGGTTAAGATAGATAGGAAGAAATTACATCGTGTTCTTTTTTCAATTCCTTGGTCTCCCGTGATTTTTATCCCATCTCATTGACTGCTAGACCGCACCTTGGTTACTTGACGATCATTCACTTACGATACAACTGAAGTTAGAAATACTACCAAATATTGCAGTACAGCATTTAAATGCAGGGTACGACTGCATACAATAGACCTTGTGGTCCGGCCCTTCCCCGCACATAACGGGAGCTTAGTGCACCGGGCAGCCCTTTATTGCAGTATAGCATTTAACCTATGCTTACCTTATACAAAGACTCAAGCTTTACCTTTCAATTGCTATAAAAACAAACAAAAGCCAAATACAACCTAACATAATGAGTAAAAAGCATAATTCAAATAAAAACCAAGAAAAAAAATTAAATAACTGAAATAATAGAAAAATTAGCAATTTAGAAATAGAAGTGAAGAACCTTAAAGACTCTTTCATTAAAGACACCAGGTAGGAGCTGAAGATCATTGGGCCCACCACCATCACTAAAAGCCCAAGTCCTACAAACACTCAAGCCCATTTCAGCACCTCTTCTCAACATCTCAGAGACTCTATACCTTGAAGATTCCCACACACTTTCCTCCATTAACCAATAAGAATTCCACCCATTAATATACAATTCTTGAAATGTTAAAGACTGATTCTTTGGGTCCTCATTCTTGATCACAAATTGAGTTTTATTAACTCCAACAAAACCCATCTTTGGTTGCCTTAGAAAGATTTTTGGGAAGGAGAAATTAAGGTTGTCATTGAAGTTCAAGTACAAAAGAGAAAGAATGGTGAAAATGCCTAATGCTGGATATAGTTTTTTGTCCCTCCATTGTGTGTCCATTTGGGAAAGTTTGTTGGTTGTTTTGTTGTTCAGTGTTAGTTATAGGGGCTTTATTATTTTAAATTAAGCCCCCACCGTCTCAAATAAGGAGTAAATTCTTTTTTTCCCAAAAAAATAGGATTACGTGGCTTTTTTGTTTTTGTTTTTTTAATTTCTCACCCGGTGTTCAGTACCTGCATAAGGCTCGTTGAAGAAGAAAAGATTTCCGAGCAAGATGTTTCTTTCTTTTTAGGATTCGAACACGAGATTTCTGATTAAAGATGGAGAAAACTTATTCATCACACCCAGGGGCAGAGCTAGAGTGGTGGGAGTGGGTTCAGCCGAATCCAGTATCTTTGGTTTGAACCTTGTATTTGTCTTAAAAAGTCTATTGAACATGTATAAATTATTAATTTAGAACTCACTAACTTAAAACGATTAGAATCCCGAACTCATAAACTTAAAATTCTGACTCCGCTTCTGATCACACCATAATATTTTGTAATAAGTAGTTTTGTTGTTACTCCTATGAGGGCAAATATTGCTATTTATAGTTAAGTATGAGGAGATAACATCCCTAAATTAAAGATGAATAAATATCCCTTTTGATTATTGCATAGCGTTTGGAGTAAATGCTGAGATTTCTTAAACGGCTTTCCCCTTTAATGTTGTTTTCTCTAACCGGTGTCTTGCTTTTAATTTTACTTTTTCGATCTTTTTGTCGCATAATACAGACCACATGTTTGTATCCGGTATCAGCTAACTCGTATCTATTCTATCATCACTGTCACGTATCTGCTCGAGAGACGTCCACCCGTAAATTTTAAATTTTACCCGATACAAATATTCTAACCTCTCCCACTGTAATTGAAACTTGGAAGTTTATACACTGCTATTCGAATCGTGACATCTCACTGCTACACTAACTCTTTAAGATTAAAAGGTATATATCGATTTGGTATTATTATTATTTTTCTCTTTTCTTTGTCCCTATTATTTGTTTCTTAATCTTATGTAAGGAGATTTGGCAACTTTCCACAGGAAAAGGAGATGAACACAAATGCTAAAATAGAGAAGGTTCCAAAATTTATGGACGAGGATGAAACGTGTGGTTTTGTGTCCTTTTCTGTCTTAGTTTGAGGTTGTTTTTGTCTCAATCTTATTTTCTGTTTAGTGGCTTTTGTTTCCTATTTCCAACTTAAGACAAATGGGCTTTGTATTTTGACATGGGCAGTGTTCAATGGGCTTCATTGTTTGACATTCGTATTCAAATTCTTAGGTAAAAATAGGATGGGCTAGCCAGTTTTCGGACTGGTAATTGAAAAATAGTCAGTGTTTGCATAGTTATTGTAAAATAGCCACTATTTTGCTGCAACACAAAAAGTTTCAGCATAATATACTGGAGATTGGTGCACCTGTGTATGAACTTCCATCATATTATGCTGGAACTCCAACACGCAAAAGTTTCAGCATAATATACTGGAGATTGGAGCACATGTGTAAGAATTTTCAGCATATTATGCTGGACCGGTATATTATACTGGAACTCCAGTATATTATGTTGGAAGTCCAATATATTATACTGGAACTCTAGTTAATATACTGGAGTTGCAGTATAATATACTGAACTGGAACTTCAGTATATTATACTGGAATTCCAGTATATTATGCTGAAATATTTTTCGGATTTTGAACAGTATTTTTGTTCAGATTTATCTTTACATGAAAAGTGGCTAAGTTTCGATTATTTTTGAAACATTGGTTATTTTTCAATGACCACTTGTAAATCTGGCTATTTTAGAATTTCTACCAATTCTTAGAGCTCAGACCTAATGAAGCGAAGCCTTGGCGTAACTGGTAAAGTTGCTGCCATGTGAGCAGGAGGTCACGGGTTCAAGCTGTGAAAAAAGCCTCTTGCAGAAATACAGGGTAAAGCTGCGTAAAATAGATCCTTGTGGTCCGGTCCTTTCCCGGACCCGCGCATAACGAAAGCTTAGTGCACCGGATTGCCGTTTTTTTTAGAGCTCAGACCTAATGAATTAATGAATTGGGATTTTGAACCCTTATCTCAACTATGGAAGGCAACTATTTCATTAAGTGAGCTAGACCTCACTCCTCCTATTTAACTTTGTAAAAAATGAAAAAAAAAAAAAAAAAAAAAAGAGAAGAGATTACAACTCAATTGGGTTGATTAACCACGAAATTCAATTGGGCTGATGCTTAGTTGGGTATCTCAAACGTGGCCCAACTTGGATGCATAAGGGCAATCATGGACCAGGTAGCTATTCTAGGTGGTAAAATTCAAAAATAGCCAAATTTACAAATGTTAATTGAAAAATAGTCACAGTTTTAAAGTAATCGAAATTTATCAATTTTCATCTAAAGATAAATCTTAACGAAAACAATGTTCAAAATCCAGAAAAAATTCCAGCATAATATACTGGAGTTCGAATTTTTTACATGGGAACTTCCAGCATAATATACTGGAGTTCCAGCATAATATGCTGGAAGTTCATACATAGGTGCTCCAATCTCTAGTATATTATGCTGGAACTTTCCATTAGAGTTCCGGCATAATATGCTGGAAGTTCATGCACAAGTGCACTATTCTCCAGTATATTATGCTGGAACTTTTCGGGTTGCAGCAAAATAGTGGCTATTTTGCAATGACTTTGCAAACGCTGGCTATTTTTCAATTACCAGTCCGAAAACAGGCTAGCCCGTGCTATGTTCACATTCTAGAAGGCTTCTATTTAGATATTAGCTAATGTGTCCTGAATTTCAGTTTTTCAATTTAATTTATTAGGACACAAAGTTCGGAAAATGAGTACTGGCTAATCCATAAATAACAACCCAAAGAATGGCTATTTCGGTATTTCCCCCATGGGCTATCCGTTTCATATCCCCGGCCCAGAACCACCCCCTGCAAATTTCAGTTCGTTGAGGCAATAAAGCAAACAGAAGAGTATCTAAACAATCAGAAAACATCTAAGAAGAAAGCTAAAATTGGTGAGTTTTCTGCCATTTCTCAGCTGTTTCATTTCTTTCTATATATATCTTTCAGCATTCTGCCTAACAACAACATGGACTTGTACCATTTACTCTTATTATCATCACTTGAAAACTAGGTGAGTCGCTACTTCAAGTAGTAATCTTTAATGGGTGCTATGAAAGTTGACATTTCGAATTTGGTGATTTGGTTTATAATGGATTAATGGGTGTCATAAAGTTAACATTTTTTTCAGGTTATGAACTAAGCATTTTGAATTTGGTTCTTTGATTTATAATTCGAGTTATAAAGCTGATAATCAAAAAAACATTATAATTGGTGTCAGGGGCGAAGCCAGAGTGCGCGATGCGGGTTCAGTCAAACCCAGTACCTTTTGTTCAAATCCTATATTTGTCTTAAAAAATTTATCGAATATGCACAAATTATTGGTTTAGAACCCAGTAACTTAAAAGCATTATAATCCCGAACAATAAGGTTCAAATCCTTGCTCCGCCTTTTTGATTGGTGTTACAAAGTTACATTTTGAATTTGGCACTTCGATGTTTTAATGGATATTTTAAAAGTTAACATTTTGCACCCAAAGTTGTGGCCTAGTGAAGTGAGTGCATACCTTGGATATCAAGGTTCACACAAAGGACACTGAGTGATTTTTTCCCAATAGGCCTAAGTCTTAATAGGAACAGTTATCCGGTACTTGTGCTGGTGGGAGGTAGCAAGTACCAAGTGGAATAGTCGCAAGCTACCATCGACACCATCGTTATTACAAAAAAGTGAAAGTTAACATTTTGAATTTGGTTCTTTAGTTTCTATAGGTTTTATAAAAATTAAAATTTCAAACTTTGGTCCTTTATATGGATTTTGAAAGCATAATAGGGCAATGTTGATACCCTTTTGAATTCGGAGTTTCGTTGTTTGTATAAATCTGATAGATATCATCATAATTGATGTAGTGGTTATGGATTGAGTAGTTCGTTAATCTTTCACCTGTTTCCTTTCATTATGCTCTTTCGCAGGCGATAAGCTTCAGTATCTTAGTTTCTATTAGCTAAGAGTAGTTCAGAGTTTTTTATCTTATCCAATGGTAAATTGGAAATTAATTTAATGGGTTGTGGATTGTGACAAAGTTGTTGGATATTGAAGGGTTAGAATCATTCTTTTCGTACATAGCACGAGTGTTTTGAGGGACATATTTCCTGGAGCAAGGTTAATATCTTTTCAGGGCTAACAGCAGAGGAAATTTCTCATACCAAAAGGGCAAGGTATAATCCAGTCAAAAGGAATAGCAACATTTTTGCTCATATGATCATATACTTGTGGAGAATAGGCCTGTTAAGTGGTACAATACAGTAGGTGTATGAGTGTTGGCTGTGAAAAATAAGCCTACTATAAGATACAGTTGAGTACAGCGTGTGACTTATCGGCTGTATGTCAAGAGGGTGGGGGGTTAATTTGGCTCTCCTGTTTAGAAGTTTGGTTCGTGTTAGTGCTTGTTAAGCAAACTTGCTGACAGGTTTGCATGTCATAGACTTAAAGCTGTCGAATATTCACTCACACTCAGCAGGGTAAAAGACTTGTAATGACTATTTTGATTTAGCAGATTCTTCCTACACTTGGACAAACTTATCTTGGTGAATTTCCTAATACATAGATATGAAACAGGAAATGTTGAGAAAAAAACGCCTAATGTTGATGCTAGTACATTTACTGTGACAGTAACTATGAAATGGAATAACTCTTTAAGTCCTGCTATGTCTCTTTGCCTTCTTTCGTTTACATCTTCTATCTCTTAAAACTGCTTCTGACATGCTAATATTTCAGCTTATTATAGGTTCAAAATGCAAAGCTTGAGATCCTCTATTCTGAAGTATGTGAGGGTTAGGATCCCATTGCAAGTACAGTTTCAAGCTGAAAGTCGGGATGTGTTAAATATACTCAATTTGCAATTACGCACTTGCAGCAGTTCTGGTGCCACCAATCAGGATGAGATAAAAGAACGAGTGCTTAACCTGGTGAAGAAATTTGACAAGATTGATGCAACCAAGGTACAAGTCATCTATTTTTTGTTATCATAGTTTTTCTCAAGCTTT